AGCTGATGCCACTACGCCGGTTTTCAAGCACCCTGGTATATTTCCAAAAGCATCTTTTCCAAAGGCAGCTTCCAAAAGAAAAAAGATGTTCACCAGATATTGCTCAACCCAGTATTTTAGTAGGAAACATAATTGTAGTGAAGTTTGGCCGTCAAAGCATAAGCTAGTCCATCGCACAGCCGTCGGGGATAAGGCTGGGCGATCTCTGTCCAATGTCTGCCATGGGGCCCCTTTCCAGTGAGGTGGAAATGTGGCTTGCGTGTAACACTGCATACAGACTGACCCTGACACTGCAAGTTTACACGATGCAAGTCATCGAACTCGATGTTGCCACAAACAAATCGTGTGTGCTTTTTCCAAATAGTGCCGAACTGACAAAAATCAGAATATATGTTGTGGACATGTTGTTGTCTGCAAATACTCTGAAGAAAAGGAAGGTGCCAACACTTTGAGGAAGCTGGATTCTCGAGTATCCATGGGATGCCAAATCTGTCCAGCGTCCGGATCAAGGCAAAACACGATTTGAAGCAAGCATTGCCCAACTGTATCTTTTCCGTCTCAGCTGTGGTCAAAAACTCAGACGAAATTCCCCATGGCTGGTTCCGTGTTCGAATCACCTTGATTCGATCGCGGGCCACTGAAAAAGAACTGCGCGGTGGAGCCATCATCATTGCTAACACCTTGCCACTTCTAATGTCACATTTCAAGCGGTAAAGGACGTTCCGACTGGTGAGGTCACACTGGTGTCCCAGTCGAATGTCCCACTGCCGACTCACAAAACCAATTCTCTCACAAGCCAAAGCGACGCCTCCGCGTCCAGAGAAAACATCCGCTACATAGCAGCCTTTCTGGTTTCTCCTAGGCGGTTTGAACTTGGACACTTCTTTCGGCCAGTCATGATGTCGTCGAACGCCGCCTCGCACGCTTGCGAGTACTCCTTGGTCTTGGTAGGGATCTGCTCCCAGGTTCGAGCCAGCCTTGCCGCCTTCTCGTAGCGAACGACTGACTTGTTGCTCTTCCATTGCCCCCGCTTTTGCACCTCCAGCTGTGACCGGTACTTGCGGCTCCGGTCGATGGATGGGCCGCTGTGCCGGGAGTGGTATGGCTCCAGGGGGATGTCCATCTTCTTGGCGCACCTCTTGAACACTGCCAGGTATTGGCTGTAGTCGAAGTCCCACAGGCGAGCACTGCTGGCTCCCTTCTTCAAGGACTTCAGAACATTGGTGACCCAGCAGTTTGTATAGGGAGAGTCTAACAGGACACTGACGTCGTAGTCTCCTGTCTTTGAGGCTTGTTGCAATTCCTCGGGGCTCAAGAGGAGACTCCAGCTGCCCGTCACTCCGGTGGCAGGCGGGATCAGGCTGAACCTCCTCAATCTCAAAAGCTCCGAGGGTCGACTGTATGTAGACAGGGCCAACATTACGAAAACAGCCATCTTGGGAAAGCCAGCCTCCATCATCAAACATGCTACCCCGCACCAAATGGCCAAAGGATAAGGAACCCTGGACCTTCCGGGGCAGAGGCGTCTCCACCCTTTGAGGCAGCGAAGTGCACGAGGAATCCTCTTTACTCCAGCTTTGCTGTATTGAGGGTGATGATGCAGCCAACTGGCAATGAGCCTGTCGCCCACAAAGGCTTGGTGGCCCCCCAGGTAACACAGGTTCATGTATTGCACCATCAACTTGTCGACTGTCTCTGCCTTGCTGACGTCCAGGCCTCGACATTGGGCATAGTCGAGGAAGGCCTGCATCTCCTTCTGGTACATCTTCTCTGACGCAGCTCCAATTGCCTTTCTTTCTAACAAGGTCAGCTCGCTCTTGCCCCTGCCCGCGATGAGGAAGTCCACATACTTTCTTCTCCGGTGGCGGGCCCGAGAGTGTAGGTTCTTTCGTCTCTTCTGCACCAGTTCGAAATCGCTGCTGCTGTCTGAACTGCTCGAGACTGAGCCGCTGTCTCGAACCGCCACAGGCTCGTCGCCAGGATTCTCGAGAGTGGGCACCGCGCCTAGACTCCCTTTGGTTGTCAGAAACTCTTCGGTCTCCGCTGGTTTCAAAACAGGAACCTTCTTGTCCTTGCAACTGTTCACGGTCAACTTCCCCGGTTTGAGCCGGGCCTCCACTCTGGCCGCCTTTGAAGGCGGTTGTCCCGCTGGAGGCGGGAGGCACCGACTCTGCTTCGGCGCCATGGGCGATGCACGCTGTCAGCAACTTTGAAGGCTCATCAGTTCCAAACCGTGAGGGCTCGTCTGCACTGTTCAGTTCACTGGGTATCCATCTAAAACTAGGTTGAATGCCCCGACCAATACAATATGCATTGAACAGCCTCACTTGTTTGAGTAAACGAAATTGACGGCTGCGACTCCGTTCAAAGGCCAAAGTAACCGACATGTTGTCAAGGAGAAAAAGCTGTCGTATTTGTGACCCAAACCGACTCAATGCGACACGCCTCAACGCCTTTACGGCTGCCCTGGCCTCCAAGGTGAGGATGCCCTCATTGAACCGCCAGCGTCCCCAAAGCTTGGGCTGCCATCTGTCTTTCCTAAGCAAATGGGCCGGCACCTCTTCAAAGTTCTGGTCGATCTGCCAACCACTCAAGTTGAGATAGTCTTCAGACGAAAGCTCACCTGTTTTCCAACAACCTGTAACCTCGTCCTTTACGAACCCTGCCGAAGTTAGAGATGACTCGCGGGCAGAGTGCCCCTCGCATCTCCTAAACCGGCTACCTCCTTCTGTCTCCCAACCCTGGCCACATCTTCGAGACTCCAAAAAGAAGTGCACACTCCATAACCCGTGTTGCTGGCATCGCTGCTGCAAACTAAGGGATTCCAAGGCCGCCACCAATCCGACCGCAGGAAGATCATCAGTCCTGCGAAGGCTGTCAGTTCGGCCCGCACTGAATCCCAAATCATGCTGTTCTCAAAATAATGTGCCTTGATAAATTTGTAGCTACTGTGAAAAACGGACAGCAACATTCTGTTGTTCAGGGCACAAAAGGTGGCGTGCCCCACCACCACCTCTAGCATCTGTCCCGTCACACGCTTCTTATTGAGTAACCCTCGAATGCTCTGTCGAACTCTGTGAAAGCGCTCAGGTGTGATTTTTGAACAAAGATTGTTCCCGTCCAAAATAGTCCCTAGCGCCCGTGTCTCACTGCTGTGCACCTCTCCTGGGTGAAGCAACAAGCCCCGCCCTCCAAAGTGCTCGTCCAACTCCTGGAGGGCGGTTGCAACGACCGCTTTGTGAGGCGACAGGACTCCAAGGTTGTCGACGTAGACATAATGTCTTGTAGTGGACTCTGCTTCTTTCAAACACTTCGAACTTTTGAAGACGACTGGTTTGCCTTTGTCAGTGATCAATGTCGAATCTCCCAAACTGCGAGTCAAAGTGCACTGATGTTCGTTGATCTGTTGGCAAAAATAAAGACTCCATGAAAACCCCATGCACAAGCTGCCAGGCATGGGATAAATGAGGTCATTGCTACCCAACTTAACCCCTTCCAAATACTTGCCGGCCAAACCCACCCAGTGAGCTCGAATGGGCTTCAAGCAGAAGTACTCACTAAGCCACCTCGGTTGTTTGAGCCTGTGGAAGCAGTCCTTCACATCCGAAAGGCCCACGTGAAGCTCCATGGTTCTAAGCTCCTCCAGAAACTCGGGGCTTCCAGGCTTGGCGTCAGAGGACACTTCACATTCAATTCGGCTGAACCCTTCACTTGAACAAAGCTCAACTCCCGGAGGGTCTCGAAAAAGGGCATTTGCGGATCTGGCATCAACAATTAAACGAATCTTCTTCTTGTCACTCTTGTGCACAAAAAACACGCCAACTTCGTTTTTGGGTTTCTGAGTATACTGCAAAAGTCCTATGTCGTCCAGACGTTGAATGAACTCCCGGTAGCATCGTTTGTTGTTTGCCAAAACAGGATCCCAATAGGGGCGGGGAGACTCAAAAACTTCTCCCTCCCTAAGCATGAGCTCTTCACCCAACAAATATCGACGGGCATCTTTGGGCAGCAAGTCCTTGGCCTCTGGAAGGTCATGGAGTGAAGCTGGTAGAGAGATGCGCTCGAGACTGTAGGGGGCTAAAGCAACAGGGATCTCGGGCTGGTTGTATTCCGATTTTCCCTTGAGCAGCTCTCGCAAGGCTGCCTCTGGAGTTGGAACATATCCCAAGGTGCCTATGTTTCCAGCGTCCTTGGAAAGTTCGCGAATTCGTTGGAGAACCTCAACTTGTAAGGGGTCAGGCTCACCATCTGTGCCATGCAAAAAATCATAGCCAGCCAACCAATTCAAGGCCATCACGGCCTCACGCACTGTCTCCTCTCCTCTGCTTCTCCTATCACTCCTCTGCTGTGAGCGGCGACTGGCGCCGTGCCATCTGCTGTGAAGTGAAGGCACTGGCAAAGGAAAAAGATCTCTCTTGCCTACGGCTGGATCTGGCTTCATGCCTCCTACTGCTGCCAGCCCTATGGAATCCCCCTTGGAGGCATCAGGAGGATTCCAAGGCCCACTCATCATTGGTTCTCCGGCGGAGGGAGCTGCTTGGCCTTAGCCTTGCGCTTAGGCTTAGCGGCTCCTCCGCCTGCAGGAAGGCTGCCCTCAGCGACGGCAGCGGCAGCGGCTTCTTCAACGGGCGCTTGCAACTTCTTGAACTCTCTCATCTTCGTTCTGGCAGCTGCAAGCTCGACCTCCTCCTTCCCCTTCTTAGCTGCCCATGAGCGGAGGGTCGGCGACACCAAGTCCTCCGGCCCCTGGTAGCCTGACATGATCTTGGCAGCGCCCCAATCGGGTGAAGATGCTGAACCACTGTTGTATGCATCAACAATGCTCTGAATGCGACGACCCAGTGTCTCAAAGCAAGCCAGGCTTCCCAAATTCAACTGATCGTAGCAGCCAGCTTGCTCGAAGCATTCGAGCAGGGCCCTCATCTCATGCATCACCCGGTCATTGTCGTGAACTCCCTTGTGACGAGCCCACACCAGTAGCCATTGTTTTGGGCTGCCCCCATTCTTCAACATGTACTTCATGAGGTGGACAACGGACTGAGGACCCTCCAGCGGCCAATCGGAGTAGGAGTATTCTCGAGTGTCCTTGGTGGCCTCACGCCAGGAGCGATAACGTTCGCCCTGGTCATCATAGAAGACACTCAAAGTCCGAGCATCCTCTGAGGCCTCTTCTGCCTCTTCTGCCTCATTTCTCTTGCCACCACCTCCTCCGATGTGGACGGATTGTCCTCTCAGCTCCAAACGACTACGCACCAACTTTTCTCGCTCCTCAATGAAGCCTGGCACCTCTTCCACCTTCATCAACTTCACTGTTGTCCATCCCGAGTCTCCTAAGATGGCCCCATGGTTTGAGTCCAGCATGACTCCACGGCTCAATCCAGAAAAGACTTCCTTCCCCAAATCAAAATCAGGGGAGTCATGAGAGGCCACCCACATGGGGGTTGTTCAATATTATGGTTCCCAAAAATTGTTCTTTCGCCGCGCTTTCGCGGATCTTTCGCATCCTTTCGCCCCCAATGTAAAATGTATTAGGATATATGATATTATTTTCGTTATTTTGTTTTCGGTGGAGGATCTGAGTAGAGCCACAAAAGTTCATCCATCGTATATGCAACAATACATGTGCCGCTGCTACTTACTACTTTGGGGAGTGTGGATTGTGGATTCTGGATAACTTTGGTTTTTGGTTCCCGTTATTCCAAGGGCGCTCGGTAGATCTTTTCTCCTTCATGGGCGTTAGGACATCTTTCGTTGCAGCTTGCTTCTTTTCTTGCCATCGACTCCGTCTTCGAAGTAATTGTTTCGCATGATTTCTTGCAGTTTTTTCCCTGTCACTGATGAGGTTTGGCACTTGCATTGGGCAAGGTGGTGTTGCGGTTGGGGCGCTTGGCTTCGGGACAGTTGTTGTTCACCCATTCCTGGAAAAGAAAAGCAAGATGCGACATGGCGTGGACTCTGGACTAGCCCATTTGGGCTCCCGATGGTTTCGGGCAGGCTCGTCTTTCGCCAACCTTGCGCGTCGCTTTCGCGAAGCTTTCGCGTTTTTCCTCGTTCGGTTTGGGGAATTTTGCTACTTGAATCTTCTCTTGTGATCCGTCTGCAAGATTTCTTATTGCTGTCTGTTTCTTTTCGTACGCATCTATGACATGCTGGGGTGTTCACTAAGCTGGTGATACATATCCTTGGGGATATTACATGCTGAGCCACTACTCTTGCAGCTTTCTGCCTATCACGCCTTGCATGGAAACCACTCTCTCTGTTTGTTTTAGACACAAAGATGTATGCACAACATGTGCATACATGTATGAATTATCTATGATATATTTCTATCAAGTTTAGCCTTTCGCCAAACCTTTCGCCGCGCTCTCGCATCCTTTCGCCCCTGCAGGTAAACATAAGTTCAAAAAGCTAGAATGTCACTCGTCCACTAAAAACATTACACGGGTTTTAGAACGACTCCCACATGAACCCTTCTGCTGGTGTCTCGAGCCCAGATTTTGGGTGGCCCGCTGGCACCTCCGAGGCTTTGGCCGGTTCGGTGATAACTCCACCATCGCGTCTGCGAATCCTCCGAGGCACCAACAGGCGTCCCAAATATGCGCTCGCCTCAACTTCCTTTCCTGACATATCTATGGCTTTTCGGGGCATCCATGAAAACTCCCCGCTTCCCAACTCACCTAGCTCTGTCAATGCTTCTTCAACATGCTTCTTGAAGGCACTGTCATCCGGGTAGGAAGAAAAGCGGTAGATGGGGAGAGGCACTCGAGAGTAATAGCTGAAGTCAATGCCTTTTACCTTGAAACTGACTGGCCCGTCATCGGCAACCCCTGACCAGTCCTCCTGATACAGATCACCGTCAGGCGTGAGGATGTACCACACTGTGCCTGAAACCCTCCAGATCATCAAACGCTCGTGGTAAACTGAGTCATCAGCAAACCACACAATAGCCCGCTGTCCTGGATGGCACTTGGACAACACCTCCTCCGCGTCGCCTCGGACTAACAAATGACTCATCTCCCTCAGCAGCCTGCCCTCTTGAGGAACTCAGCCGACACACTGAAAAGACCACGCTTGCGAGAAGGACTCCAACCACCAATCCCAACGACAAGTCTAACGTCCTCGAATGACCTGGACTGCAAAGGCACTGGCACGAGCAGGTCTGATTCACCAGGGATGGGCCTTGATCTTGAAGCCTCGGTTCCTTAGGGATGGACCGATATCCCACCTCAGCCAGCCTGGCCAGCCACAGAATGGCCAGTGCTGAGGGTTTCATGCGGGGCCCCCCTGGATCACCCTTTTGACTTGAGCACCGCATCAACGTCATTTCAAAATTCGATACACAAATCAGTCTTCATGTGCGATCACTTCCATATATAAGGGACCCCACTTGGTATCTATATGTAATAGTGGTATATATATATAGTGGTTATATGTGTAATATAAGGGACCCCACTTGTTGTATCTTGTTGTTATCTAATCTATCGTGATAGTGACACTGAGCCTATGCACAACAAAACAAGAGCGAGGATGTAAAGACAAGATCCCCATTTTCTCGGTCAAACAGGTGCCCCAATGGCCGATCGTCCATCATACTTTGTCCTCGCCCAACAGTGATGTAGAGAACTCTTCTGCTTTCACACAGGTCCTGCTAAACACGGAGAGTGTCCAAATAAAATTGTTCCACAAAGATCTGTGCCCCAGCCTCAGCCCTTTGTGCGAAGAAATCTGCAAATCAAACTTAGGTCTTTGGTGAGATTTCGCGGCACCAAAGACTAAAACATCGTCATGGCATACAACCTGGGAAATCACCCTTTCGGCGTCTTCAAAAAGTCTCATGAATCCAACGTGCGCATCCTGCCTGTACTCGCGGCTGCTTTCCTCTGCAATCTTCAACTCTTCCTCCACAGCCTTGAACTCTGCCTGGTGCAAACCAACCGACAGCATGTCATGGTTGGGTGGCACAACATGTATAAAGCCAATTAACGTCAACGAATCAGAAAAGCCTTGCGATTCACTGACTCGTAGCGGTGTAAATATGAAAAGCTCGAAGGGATGTAGTACTCCAGCGAAAAGAGTGACGAGCGGCTGTTCGGTCGCGCCGCAAAAATACACACACAAACAACCACGCGCTCTCGCACGCACGCACGCACGCAACTACCCGGCTCTCTATGGGTCAGGATATGGCAGGATGGTATAATTAGGGTGAATCCGGGAATCCTTTCAGATTCTTCAACAAAGCTTGAGAGATAGCTCCAATTAGCTCCACATCATATACTGAAGTTGAAGAGAAAGAGCCAGTCGATGCCAGTCGCGTTCCTTCATGAATCATGATTCATGATCGAAAAAAATGCTTCTCGACTCAAATCAAACGGAATAGGTGTGGCGACTCTCACCTGCCAAAGGCCAACTGCTAGTGGGAAAAGAACTGAATTTTCGACACCCCCAAACATCAAATCGCTTGATTTCCGGGCCTGCCTGGGCTGCCAGCAGCGCGTTCGCTTTCGCCTCCAGCTGCTGGATGGATTCGCGCTCCTGGGTGAGGCAGCTGGATGCGCATGATTGCACATGGTTACGCCAGGGGATGTTGGAAATGAGAGAATTCTATGATTCTTCGGTGGCTGCGGGTCAAGACTTTCAGAGGACGCGGGCCTAACAACCGAACATGAAAGGAGATACCAATGAGAAAACAATGAGGGAGGTCAACGTCTCAGGGTCAACCGGCCACAACAGGTGCCATGACCCACTGCCATCTGTGACATGACAAGACCCAGGGTGTGGCTTTGGAAGTTCATCGCTGTCGGCTCCCAAAACCCCAAACGGGCCAATGCTGAGGCTTGGCTCCAACTTTCCAGAAGCATCCAGGGACTACAGTGACTACAGGCCTCCAAGAATAGGCTGAGATAGTCTGACATGATAACACTGTTCCTAAAAGGATTTGCCTGGTTTCTTGGCTGTGGCTAGGGGCAATGGCTGCGCCAACCACGAAGCATGTGTCAGGCACCGGGCATGGATCTCATGTTTGGGTCTGCTTGCCCGAAATAGTGGATGATGGGCTTGCGTTTGATTCATTTAAGTTAACATGGTGACATGATGTGACATGGTGCTCCAAAATTCAATACACTCCCGACTCCCAATGAGGGCCATTCCTCCCAAATTGCCCCATTAGTCACTGAGAGAGCAACGGTCAACCGGAATCATCGACATGATCGTGCCAATCATTATCAAAGCCATTCCAAGGCGACACTGTGCAAATCTTGAAGAACGAATCACATTAAGATCACTGATCTTAAACTGACCTCTCTCTCAGAGTTGCCATGAAGGTCCCAAGCTTTCACTCCATCCCAGACTCGTACGTAAAACAGCCAAGTCTCCGACGCCTTGGCGCTCTCCAGCGCCGCTTCGGCGTCCTGCCACTGCTGACGCTCTGCCTCCACCGTCGCCTTCGCAGTGCGGCGGTGGGTGTGTCATGGGGAATATTCTGACGGATGCACGAGGGAGACGATCTATGGAATACCAGGTGTGTATAATATCATCGAACCTCATGTGATGTAGAAATCCAGGAATGATGCAACACCGACCCAATCAACACACGATAACACATGTCTGCATCACCTTCCTGTGCGGATTGAAGCATCCTGCCCTTATTGAACCTGACACACTGAGTCATGAGTCTGCATTTCATGAAGGCTGAAGCCAGTCAACAGCCAGCTCGACCAGGCCTATCAAATGCCGCTCCTGGCGGCCCCTGACAAACTTCGATAGCAATTATATACTCAATGAAAAACAACACACAGGCAATAAGTATATATACAGTAAGACACTCATATTGATTGATAATATTACTGTGATCTATGAGATGTTGTATTGTCGACCGGTTCCTTCTCAAGACTCAAGACGGCCTGAATGGTCTGCTTGGTCTCCAACTGCGTCTTGGTCATCTCCACCAAATGCACTTGGAGCTTCTCGCCCGTCTCAGCCAGGTCTGTGGACTGAAAGTCAGGAAGTACCTCATCAGCGGTGGCACTGTCCGGTCCGCCCTTCATCCACCGACGCATGGGATCTCATTCACCGACGCTTGCGGAATGCAGCCGGCTTTCAAAGGACATCTAAGTATGGATCGATATAGCTGCTATAGCTGCATTCCTTTGCATTCAGCACACACACACACACAAAACCAACTCGAATTGTTCTATTGCACGGATGGATGGATTGACGAACATCGACATAGGTAAATTAGGCTGGTGAATGCCTTAGAGCAACCAACGAACACGTTCTGGCTTGGGTGCAAATCGTTTGTGGCTTCATGCGATTTCCCCTGACCAATGCCCGCTCAAATGATCAGCTGGTATGACAGCAATCTCTGAATAAAGCACTTGCGCACACAAGCTCCTGGTGGCTGGTCCTGCTACCAACGACAACGATAGTGGGAGGCGCGGCGCAGGACTGCCGTGATGCCCATGGACTGGGATGGAGTTGGGGAAGCATACGAGCGCATGTACATGCCGATGGTTTCCACGCATGGAAGTGGACACCGAACGTGGCCATTTAAGGCCGGCCCATGGGCCCATTTTCCACGTCAGCGGGCCGAACGATGGTGGTATGAGTCGCTGGTGATGGTGGTGGTGAATAAAGGCGAAGCAGATCAAAGCAGAATGATGCGGCAATGATGCAGGGCCTGTCCTCCTCACGATGCTTGATGCTTGCGGTTGGTGGGGCGAAGATTGAACAATCAGGGTTCGAGCATCAACCCCCTCTGTCCAATTCCTTAGCAAGAAGAACTCCAGTGACAATCAGGCCTTTGTCAACAGTACGTAATCAGTTACAGTGTATGTGTGAATTCTGTCTTTAAGCCATACCTTGTATCGACCAGAGTTAAAGCTGCTTAAAGCTGCCAGCATTGTCTGCTGTTTAATTCGCTGCTTCATATATATAGTCTTCCAGACATAGGGAAAATGGATGCATATAGAGTTATACAGTACACCCTTTAAATGACTGTTACAGTTCATTGGTAACACTCAATGTGTATATATTGATGCATGCACTCTTCCATCGAGTGCCAAACTCCTTGGCACTCCCAAACACGTAGTGTTGTGTACACTACCTCTGAGTTTTCAGGCAAGCTTCATCCCTCATGATGCTATGGGTGGCATTCACATTTGTCGGGGGATGTCAATATCATCCCAGTGTAGACTTATAACTTATAAACCACTCAGCGATCCTAAAGCTCTAAGTGTCCGCCAGAATACTGCAGTGACCTTCTCGATGGCAGCAATGTCGGCCATGGCGTCAGTCGCGTGTGGCAGTCGCGTATCGGTGGAAGCGAATCCCAAAATGGCTGGCAAACACAAGTCAGACCGATGTGGAACAGGCAAGCCGAGTGTCCCCCGAAAGGTTCCATGGTTCATAGCTCCCGCCCACCTTAGCTCAATCGTATATTTTTCTCACGCGATGAAATATCAATGATTCTCATTACAGTAATGTTTCATTGAGTCTACTGGGTTTAGCGGTGGCCTCCAACGAGTAAATAGGGTGTGGGTTTTCGACGTTCTGCGTGCGACAAACACATGGTCAATTCACCGTTGGTGTCTGTGGCATGTTTTCGTGTCTGGTGTCTCTTTTGTTTCGGTCGACCGGGCCGCCGCACAGGTGGCAGGTTCGTCACCAGGACAGTCCCAGGTTCCAGGTGTGAGCCGCTCTTGGAAGCATCTGGCAAGCTGGGCGAGCCCCCGCCTTGAAGTATGTCATCAAGGCTATAAGGGGTTACCAAGATCATTAGTCTCATGACTTTAAGTCATGATAGTGAATGTGATAGTGGAGCTTATTTGCTGGAGGAGCCTGCATCAACCAGAAGTTACTGACGATATCCATTCGGATGTGCTGGGGCGTGGACCATGCCCAGGTCTGGCCGACTGGAACCACTCTTTGGGAGAGCCTTGGGACTGCTCCGTCTTCAGAGCTTAGCTTCAGAGGTGTGAGTTGAACATGAGAATTTCAGGCCAGTCCAACCCCCCCATGGTGCATATGGAATCCTCTGGGTGATGCCCTATACTCCCTGAAATGATTACGGAAATTGAAATGGATGGCGCGGCATGGCCCCGATTTCGGATGACCCTTTTGCACCACAAAAACAAAGAAAACACCATGGTTTTCCACTTCCATGATTATCATGATTCTTTCAGGGAGTGTATGCCACTTGGATGTTACATGATCTGATCATATTTGATCCTTCCAGTGGATCGGCCCATGGTCACCGGCCGCACGGTCCTTTCCCCGACCCCACCAACCTTGAGAGCGAGGTTTCCTGAGTCGAGGCATCCGGGAGCGAAGCGGCAGGTGCCGACCGGAGGTCTAGCTCAGTGATCCCTAGAAGGGAGGATCCCTTCTGATTCATGCTTGTCAGTAAGCTCTTACTCTTCTTTCTCATCCTCATCACTCGTGATCAGAGTTGCCTTTCCATGCAACATGAACGTGTATGATTGAAGAGTTGGAGGCCATCGCTCTTATGGAGGCCATCGCTATTGGGTTATCTAAACGTCGCCTTTTGAGAGGCAAACGCGGAGGTGAGTCCCGAACCGTGGAGAAAGGTCCCGAACCGTCCTCCGTCTGGACGGGTTTTTTCCAAAGTCCGGTCTCTCACCAAGGACCCTGGGCAAGAACAACTCATCGTGTTTAGCCCAATAGAATGGACCTTCAACCACCTAGCTTTCATGTACTGAATACATTAACTATAAATGTTGAGTCGCTTTAAGCTTTTCTGAGACATCTCCCACTAGTAAGGGATGCACTTGCAACGCACGAGGTAGTTGCAGTAGTTCAGGTTGAAGCACGCAAATCATAAAGACAACATATAGGGATGTTGGTGGAAAAGGAGGCACGATTCCCATGAGAACCTATGCATGATGAACGAGGAAGCAAAGCAAGAATCACATCCTGGCTTGACGCACATGTATTTGCTTCAATCTTCTCCTCGTCTGCAAGACATAAAATGACATAAGCCATAAGCCTGTAGTAGCCATGCCAAGTTGCAAGTAACACTCCAAGCTTTGTTGCTTGGAATTCACTCCGCTGCTGAGCCCCTTGGAAGCGCTCCTGAGCCAAGTGAGGGAAGGAGATCCTCAGGTTCCTGCAGGTGGGGATATCATGGACCTCTTTGCATTACTCACAGGATGGCACCGTACATATGAGCCATAGCCATATAGCCATAGAACTTGGATAGGTTTGCAAGATGTACTGGCAACTTTGCGTGGGGTAGCAGGTTCCAACAAAGCTCAGCAAGAACCCCACCCTTCCTCTGCGTCTCTCTCCGGAAGAGCAACTCCCTCGTAATTGGAGCTCGCCTTCTTCTGAACAACCCACACTTCTCTTAATCAAACCTTTACATCTTAAATTAAGTTAAACATTCCGATCACGCAAATACGTCGAATGGTTTTTAGAGAGTTAGTTATAACATGTTACAACCTATAATATGTATATATAATTGCATATATTAATATATATATATATGATGAGATAGGATTTTACGGACCATGTTTTGGAATACACCAGGACACATGAGATAGGACTAGGTCGTCATCAAGAATCCTGGGACACATGAGATGGAAAAGGGTGTGTTCACTGACCCCTGTTTTTTTCTCCGGCATATAAGTATAGCATAGCGGCTTTGAGTGACTTTTATGCGATTTTTGGAGCCTTAAGTACCTTAGATTCAAACACTTGGGTACCCACCTTTAAAGGTGTTTATGCACTTCGCCGCTTAGAAGTTGCTTGAAAAACGGGTTCCCTTGCCCGAAGTAGGCACTTTGCTTGACCCGTCGGCGACAGTCGGCGCTTGGCTAGAAGTCGCAAGGCTTCCGTGAAACAGGTCCGTGAAACGGCCTTCTTCATAAGGAACGATGAGTTGGTCTTTGGACTGGCTTGCTGCATCTCCTGGATGGCTTGCCTGACTCTTGAGAAAACTTCAAGGGTCCTCAGTTCCTCAGGCATGAACCTCATAGAGCCAAACCTCCAAGTCCAAACCACACACACAGTCTAAGAAGGCAACAACAAGAACTGTCTGCCCAGCCTTGCATTCCCACTGTCCAAGGGGCTCCGCCGCGTCGGCGCTTTGGAACGTCACCAGGGCTCCGTTCTCCCAGGGCCTCGCTCCGAGCGGGCGCACGGGCGCACGGGGCGGTCGACGGAGTGCCAAGGAGCTCGATGCTGTCCACCGGGCCGAATTCCACCAGCCAATCCTGGAAGAGCACCGAATGAGGCACACGGTTCTGGCTTTCCCAACTCGCACTGACAGACTTGCCCTATTCCATTGGAAAAGGACATTAACTCTGGATGGCCTGATGTTTTGGAAACACATGATTCGATTGATATACTCGCCCTTTCCGCTGTCACAAGGTGGGGGGATTCAAAGGATCGGTCTTTTTGGTAAGACATTGGAGCCCTGATGAGAAGATTGGCTCTGTAGGCATGATCCCCTCCACCGAACTCCACCTGTTCAATGATCAAACGCATGACGCTTGTCATCGCTTGCCTATACCTCACTGGCACTTGCCTCCCTATTGAGACAGTTCCTCCACGAACCCAGAAAAAAATCAAGCTATTACATCCCAACCAGGCTCTTCATGTCATTCTCTGTTGTCTGCTGTTGTGCTTGTCCTGGTGTGTTGTCATTATGTGTCAATGTGTGGTGTTTGCTGTCATGTCAGACCATTGGCGGGACACTGGCTCGCTGGACGTGTGGTTACGTTTGGCCATCGCATTGTGGTGTGATTGTGCGTTGTCTGTGACATTGTTTCTGGTCTGTCGTTGTGTTTGTCATTAAACCTGGGTTGCCGGCTCCAACATCTAGCCAATCTTGCCGGGCGGACAACACCAACACACACACACACACACACTCGGGCTTAGAGTTCGAAGGCCGCCCAAATGCCGAGAAGAAGCCTAAGACCTAAGTAAAAAAAAGGCCTGGGTAAAGCGGGCAATTATGAGTACCAAGTGGAGAGTCGTCTCGCATGAAAAGCTGAAAACCTCCAAGTCTTCCAAGCACTGAAGCCCGCATCACGACCTCACCATACCTCACCAAACCTGAAACAGCCTCCAAGACTCGCCTGAAGGGGAGCGTGGTTACACAAAAATCACCATTTGCAGGTACACCAGGTTGATCAAACCTGGCTTCCACCATCACACTGTTTGCTTCGTTGGCATGCGTTTGCATGATGGCCGCATGCCCCCTGCAAATCCTAAAAAATGCCCCCTCTGAGTCCAAGGGTTCCACACACCAAGAAATGCCGGTGACGACGCCCGGACACACACTCAGGTTCAGCTTCAGGTTCCCAAGCCCTCTTCAGGTTCAGCCCAGAGAGGGCTCAAACCCATCCGAACAGACCCGGCTTCCGAGCCTTTGGCCCTTTGGCCCCTGGGACCCGTCCCGTGCCTCGAGGTCCCAAACCCCCATCTCTGGTGGCAAACCACTGACCTTGGATCCAACTGCTCGGGTCTGGCTACATCCAAGAACCATTTGGGAAGTGCCTGTTGAGTGTGGACTGGCCAACCATTCCCCGGTGTTGGCCATAAGACGGTGGGCAGCAGCAAAAACAGCAATGGCTAGGCTAGCAACTGTCTTACAGTAAGTCCTTTGTCAACGTGATGGGTCTTCTCTCCCAAGCTCTGTCCATCAAGAATCAAAGTACTACCCTCCTCCGAACACCATGGAAGTGGGCGTCCTAGCCCCCTTGGAAGATCCTTCTCCCTTAAAGGGAGGTTTCCCCATCTGATTACCTCGCCGCTGTGCACAAGAAAGCGTGAACCAATCAGATGACCAAGCAACGCTGAGATTGCTCCTCGACTCTGCTCACGTCACTTTATCACTCTTGGGAGGGTAAAACAGCAAAAGCATAATATATATATATATATATCATTAGCAGAATATCTGCAAAAAGCCACTGGACATACCCCCCCCCGACTCTAAATATTGCCCTGCATGATGCCCTGCATGATCCTGCATGTATTTCTTCTAAAGTCGAAAGCCTGCCTCCAACATGGCAATGGCAACATCCTATATATAGATCCAACAGGATCCAACTACATCTTCTGAAGGTCAAGGTGGTTGAACCCTCAAAGCCACCCACATCAACAACCACCTTCTCCAAAGGATGGACACTGCCGTGGAGCTGTGCTTCCTACAGCCAAGGGAACCAAGTGGCAAAGAGCTCAATCGGGCGTTTTGCCTCAAGCAACTGCGACATCTTCTGGTGAGCCTGACATGAGGCCAAGACCAAGTCTGCAAGTACAAACATATATCAAGTGGATCATTGCACCCAGGACTTGTGAAGCGAAGGCTGTGTCAA